TTATCTGTTTAACTAGCAAATCTGCCACGGACACCTGGTGCGAGTTTATTTAATCTGAAATGACCTTGTGCAGTTAGTCTTCGCCAGAAATGATCTACAATCACGCTTAACAAGATCAAGGTGACTTTGAAGTCTTCAGAGCGTCTTTATCTAGAACGATGTTACAACATGTAAATCTCTTGAAACGAATTGACTTTGACCTGAAACATTTGATCGAACCACGAACCACCGCTGCTCTGCGCGATCATTAAACGTTGCTCCCTCTATGCACGTTGTAGCACTTACACGAAACTTCGAAGTCATGTTTATGTTATAGAATCCTGGATTACAAGCAACGAAAACATTATCATTGATGTGTACGTAAGCAAACCTTGCGTGAATCCCTCTTTCTTGCATCTTGGTTTCTTCGTCGTACAGGACAAGCCTCGCGTCATCGCCCAAGGTTACGAACTTTGGCAGGTGAGAATGGTAAGCCAAGCCGAGGACCTGTCTCTTCTCCCGTATCGTGTAAAGACACTGAGATGTTGGATAATGCCAGCATTTCACGCAACCGTTAGCGTCTATGGTAGTAACATTTCGTGGTAAGCATTTTTACTTGAATTCCGGCACAGACGTCGTTGAATACAATCCAAGTGAAAACGAAAAATCGTACAAATTTATTACGTATACTAACAGGTTGCAGTGACAGTGCGTGTGATTGGGTAAGACCTGCGGACAGGCCTATGCTTAATTGCGGTCGTTGGACTTGGTTTTTGCATCATTTCGGTGTCGCATAACGTCAGCACGTCTTCTGAATTTGTTTTGTACAATTTAACCGAGCCATTCGTCAGACCAGCCACCAAGAAGTCATAGGTCTCCGTGTAACACAAGCAAAGAATATCGTGCTCGACGTCTCTGAAACAATATCCTTTTGTAGGCTAAAATTCAGTTAATCGAAATTCTGCTGAAACAAAGTTACTCTTGTTTTTGATTTTTTGTTCATCGCTGAGAAATTGAAAGGGACATGTGAGGCAAGTTGGGAGATGATCTCTTCAAATAGTGAATTAAATAAATATTTTTAAATTTATTTGACCATAACGCATTACAGTACGTTAATTATCGCCCATTCAGTGTGTCACGCTTACACAGGGTGTCCCGGTTAAAGGAGACCACTTAAATATCTCCTTTGTTTTTAATGTAATGAAAAATATGTTTATAGCATGAGTTAAATGATTTCCAAAGGGAAATATGGAAGAGACAATTTTTAGTTTGCTCATTTTTTTAAGGTTATCGTCGTTTTTTACGTAGGAAACGTATTTTTTTCTATTTTATCTTATAGCAGACAAGAAAATACATGTGAATATGCCTGAATCATGATTTTCAAAAGACCACTAAAAGGATGATGAATTAAACAATAAGAATTTAAAAAATTTAACAATAACAAAATGTTTAAACAAAAAACTTTCTTCCGTGATATTCCCATTTGGAAATTATTTAAATCGTGTTACAAACATTTTTCAGAACCTTAAGAACAAAGGAGATATTTAAGTGGCCTCCTTCAGTTGGAACACCCTGTATATTGTATTTTTGCGCGTTAATAAACGCCAAAAATATAACATGCATCGACACTTAAATTTTGATAGTATACTTGGAGAGAAGAGCTATAGTGAGGTCGTAAAGTCAGACAGGAGTGAAAGAACATGAAATCCGATCGTCAAAACATCAGTTGGGTGAGATAAGGAGCTCGAGCTTCGTTCAGGGCCGTGCGAAGTCAACTCGGCATCGATTCTTCCATTACGGTATATTTAAAAAGAGTGATAAAAACAGAAAAAACGTGGATGCGGCTCTATACCGATACAATCACGTTTAAGCTTGGAAGCACTGTCGACTATCTGAGAGTTGGTATCTTTCGCTCAGCGTTTGTAACTTGAGATTTGGGAGGCTTCTGTGAAACGCGTACGGCCTTGTGCACAGCTAGATCAATCGATGTTTTCGGTTAACGTCGTATTTTACGATTTGACTATAGGTAACCACACTATAGCTTCCACCAAGTATGTTTACGCGGTTTAGAAATTTTTGAATTTCTCGTAACAGAAATAATAAACATTTTTAAACTTCGATTTTTCTTTAAAGCACTAAGAAATTAGTACACATTTGTAAGCAAATTATGATTTTTTAAATTTAAAAGTAATTCAAATATGTCTAATATTTCTGAATTTATAAATTTCTTTAACATAA